GTACATTGTTGAATTAATGTAGTTGAGTATGAATCAACAATATTCCCCATTTCAATATGAGCAATAACAATACGTATCACCATCATCATCATCATTCACTTCTTCTCTATTCTGAGTGCAACGTAGGCCTTGAAATCTTTGAAATTTCAATAACCATGGCATCATTTTTACAGGGTGAGGTTGCTAGCCTCACGCTCAACCTTCCCATTTTACTGGACTTACTACTGTCTGGGTGAGGTTTACGAGTGTGTCGTTCGGGGATAAAAAAAACCTGGAGCACGTGACAAGGATGGAAGGCGTTCTACCTCTGAACTGCTCACACACTCTAACGACATATATGGAGCAAGGTAAAACGAGAAATCCATTCTTATTCGGTATTAACCCTTGTCAGCTGCTGACAACCTGAAAAACGAAAGTGAATAATTTTATTACAGTTCTAACATACTTTAGTTCATAATAGAAACAAGTGTCGAAAAATAATTAGGCGTAATTGTGGTACGTATACAGATGAACCGAAATGTTGCATTGTTAAGGTATAATGAATTACTTTAATGCATTAGAAGTTTCTCGAATAAAGGCATACAGTGGTAGCAACAAGATATTGAGAGCGAAAGTCGTCCAACTGCGTAAGTCATTAGTAAACTGATGGTAGACACAATAAAATAATTCAACAAAAAAGGTTGGGAGTTAAGCTTCTTTGACAAAGTATCAGATATATGAAACATAGCTTGATGACGTAACTAGGTGACAGTGAAGACGAAAGGTGATATAACCATTTAGTACTGATGAGGAGTCCCAAACTAGGACGAAACAGCTGTCTGGCAGTACTCCCAGTTGGTTTTCCAGTGATTCTCTAGCTGATGTCAACTCATGATGAAATTCTCCACTCAAACAAACAAAAATCCCCACAAAACCAATACTTGAAAATTAATCTGATGCTCACTAGTGACTGGCCCTATTCAGGCAGTTAACCTGGGGTTCTAGTGGGAAGCTGTGACCAGTAGGGTGCAGCAGGTCGGGTGTGAGGATAAATACTCGCCGAAGACACTGGCTATTGGTCCCGCTGTGTCGTGAATTGGCAGAAGTTAGAATTCAAGGACCTAAGGATAGGGTCCCAGTGGCTCAATGGTCTACGAGCTCGCCTTGTAACCAGAAGGTCGTGGGTTCCAACCCCGGTGGGTACGTACTGATGAGGAGTTCCAAACTAGGACGAAACAGCTGTCCAGTACTCCCGGTTTTTCCAACGGTTCTCCAACTGATGTCAACTTATAATGAAACCCTCCAAGCAATCAAACAAAAATCCCTACAAAACCAATACTTGAAAATATAACCACTTAGACATTATGAATCAAGTTACCAGGATACAGAATTTCTTACTTCTACAGATATTTTTGAATACATAAATGAGTCTATAACTGATAGATAACGGCAGCCTCTGAAAACTCCAAACAGTTTGAGCTTGCTTGTCCGCTCATCATTTTGAAGGAATTCATGACGTCTACTTAGTGTCCTGTATCGACCAGAAAGAGTGTAACTGCACTGTTCAAAGAACTAAATCTTTGCGTAAAGAACTATCAAATTTCAGTATTCAGATAGTAAGCAGTTGACAAAGGATACTCATGAAATAAAATGGATCCCTGTTATTTTATCCCGATCTATGTGTTGTTGTTATTGCTTTATTCAAAGCGAAATAATTAATGAATATGTTGGAAAGTAGGGGAAAAATGCAGGTTGAAATAGTGAGATGTCGACTTAAATGAGATTCTCTGGATTATCTAATTATTGTTTTATGGCAAATACCCATCGCATAAGCAGTTTGTTTCCATCTGCAATCTTATAAATTTCACCATGATGACAATTAGTATCTAGATATATTGACATCAAATAGTTATAGTTTTACATATCTGAGTAGTTCATTTTCGCCTAAGCGATGTTATGTTACCTCAGTAATGAGATCCAAATCTCTCAGTATTATCACTGAGAATAATACCGATATTCAGTATTCAAACTAAGGAGTTCAATACTAATGTAGATCTCGTCAGATATCGGCATCGATTAGAGAATCATGTAGTTTTAAACTGTTTACCAGTGCTCAGTCATGATCCAAGCAGAGTTAACAATCAGAATCCTCAGGTTGCGAGTTAACGGGTGAGAATCCAATGACCCATGAATAATAATTTTTTTCATTTCTCAATTTAGTGTTGTTACCAATTAATTTCGTCACCGAGCATCCACTTCATGTCTAATTTAGTTGATTCCACTGATCACGAGTTCTCATTAGAACCTGAGAATGCTTATCCTCAAGCTAGTTATCAGTGATCAAAAGATTAATATTTAAACTTTAGGTTTGTAGACTTTTCAGCGTAGATTTAAACTTTTCAGCATAAAGGATTAATAAGTCGTTCATACAGAATACTTAGAAATTTTTTCTGCGACTTCCCACTAATATATCTGCAGAATTTCGAATCCCACTACCAGCCACTAACAAACATGTACCTATAAGTCAAAAATAAAGGCGATATCAAGGTATCCTTTCAATGACTCTATAAACCAGGACTGCAATTTGCTAATAGGAAGCAACAAATATACACGTGCGTAGGTGGTTCAGTCGTAGAGTGCTCGCCAACTGCGCATATGGTCCGGATTCAATCCCCGTCAGCGAACTCCTAAGCCACTTAGCCAATAGAAAGCCCCGTAAACATTGAAGGTTGGGTGTGAGGCCAGCAGCCGCATCCCATAAAAACAATACCATCACTAGTGAAACTTCATAACCCAAAGTATTATGATTTTCCACTGGAAACCAAAAGGAACTGAAGAAATGAGGATATGTGAATGATATCAGATCATACTGGCTACACGAAGGAATTGTTACTGTGACGCAATGGCCTCGTAGTCAGGTAACACTTATTGTTATAAACTAAAGGTGATTAGTTCGAGTCTTAATGGTATGTAGACACACACATACAGTTGACTTGTTTCAGATACAATGAAGTGCTCATCTTGTAGTCCATTGAGGAACACCATCCAAAAAACAACTGCGAGATGAAAATTTTGATCTCAAATTTCCTACAAATATCATTTTTCCTTCTTGAAAATATTTTAACATTTCACACTTAGAATGTTAAATTAGAAATGATACTGTCTGCAGTTTGAATAACATCCTTTGGGAATATAAAATTCACCAACACTGACTCAGTTAATTAGGTCAGTAGGACAGTGAAATCAATCAATGAATTTGATAAGGTGCATGCTTTATGAATGAATAACTGTGTATTCATTTCTTTGTATTTTCTCTAACCTAGATATTCTGCTTCACTGAAACTGTTTTACATTCAATAAAAGTTATGATTTTATAGTTACTTGAACGAAGTATTAAATAAAAGGCAGTAAGGTGTGATGACTGAAGATGGAGAAATAAACAACTGATTAGCTGTAGGATTCGAACCAGTGGCCTCCGAATTTATAGTTCAGGTTTTGTAACTTAACTGATAGACCACAAGATGTGTAATTCGAAGGCACTTGACCTAAATCCTTCCATTATCCAGATTTTTCCTTTTACTACCGTAAATCATCATCCTCAAAATCAATAACAGTCTGCCGACTCAAAACTATCTCACTTAGTGTTATCATCAAATGACAGTGAGCTGATATACAGTTTAAAATGTTACCGAATCGCAGTAAATCCAGTTGATCAGGATGTCTTATTACTAAAACAGGAATTGATAAGTATATAATAGAGTGTTCTAATCGCCTTAATAATAGGAGTTTTACTCTGCAAAATGCGTTTACATACAATGCAGAATTCTCGGCGTGTTTCATTGCAAAATACTCATGCCATATGCACAGTCTTCAGTATTGTTCTGTCCAAAGCATACTTCAACATTACAGATCGTTATTTCTTCATTTTATTTAGTAAATTTACAGCATTAGTTTGAGATCTATTTGAAAATGAGCATCAATACGTTAATGTAAGTGTAGAACTTGGGCACTGTGGTAGAATGTAACCCTAAATTGGACAAGTTTATTTAAAATATCTCCGGTACAGGTGGCGTTGCGTCATTCCGACTGCAAGTGTACGGTGTTGAATGGATGAACAAAGCTTTAGTGATGAACCTCTCTCTATCTTCACCTAATCTCACCCTGTCCCACCCCATTTTGTGATTACATGCAAGTGAATGCGGTGCAATGGCTGAGCTTTTTTCTAGGTTATTTAACTAAGCACTTCACAAAATAGGGAGGGACAGGGTGAGAGTGTTAGAAAGTAATATAGCTAGGTGGAGATAGAGAAAGGTTAATCACTGAAGCTATGTTTATCCATTCAACACCGTACATTTACAGTCAGAATAATGCAACACCACCTGTACCGGAGATATGGAAAGCGGTAATGTAATGTAACCCTGTGGTCTGAGCAGGCTATCACCGTTGAGAAGATGAAGTTTACTCACAGCAACACATTGTAAAGAAAAAGATAAAATGCACTTAAGCAGTTTACTTCTCTGAGACATCGTTGTCCTCTAAACTGACATTAAATGACCATTCACAATTATTCTATTTTGAAGTACAAATACAGATTTTATGCTAAATATTTTATGCTATGATGATCGAGTTTTTCATGAAATCAATATCTTTCGTTGTTGTTGCTGTAATATTTTTCAAAAATACAACAAAATCTGTATTTGATGAATTTATTACTTTTTGAATTTCCCGTTGATTGGTTTAATGTAATCGATTTTCTTAGAGTCTGTCGTTGTAGCCTAGTACGGCTAGGGGATAACGCTTCAACATATGGAATAATGGATACTGACTGCATTTGAGTGACGACAGAAAGGCTACCACTCACTTCAGATGGAAATACATCTCGTTGATGAGCCCCAGATAGAACTAGACTCATATCAGAGATTCTACTGCTAGCCACTAACGACTAAAATCTGTGTTTCACATTTGTTATGGTATGGTTGTTTTTCTTCTCACCGATTCCTCGAATATTATTTTACTTTTAGGGCTATCAGGAATTGTATTCACCTAATCTACTGGATTCTGAAACTTCTGCAAGAAGAAATCCTTTGGATTCTGACTCTTTGAATAAAACACGTAAGTGAGAAGAAACTTAGTCAATTATTGGAGTTAGTGTTATTTTATAACTTTGATTAATACATGTATTCTATTTCACTTTATGATATCGCGTCCGCTATAGACTTAAAGATGGTATGCTGTCATACGGAATGAAAGTGTTTCAGCCACAGTTATATAAGTTTACTTAATATTCATTCAAGAGATCAGTACAAGCCTGCATTACTATTCAATATTTTTCCTTAGAGTTCCGAATGAAACATAAGGCTTCAACAGCTCATAGACATTTACTTCCTCCTCATATGATCTCTTCCTTATCACCCTCGAATGCTCAACTCATTGCTTCCCACTGGAATTCTTATCGATGGCCTTATATTGTGATGACTCTCAGTAGTCTTCTCAGTATATGTTCAACGCTTCTCCATTTTCTTCTTCTTTTTTGGCGAATAGGCTCTTGGTGGGTTAGCTGCGTGTCAGAGTTTTTTTTATAGCATATCCTTTCTGTCCATCTAACCTTCAATACTGTGTGAAGTTATTTGTCAATGAAGATCTGCAGTCTGTTCGAAATACTTTTCGTGATTCTCCTAGTTTCTGAATCATATAGAAACTAAGAACTGACATTCATGTCAAATATCCAGATCTTGTTCCTTATTTTGAATGCAACAGATTTCCAGATTGATTTCGGATTTATGAACATGCCTAAGTGTCCACCTTGAATCCTTCTACGAAATGAGCCATTTTGAAGTAGAAGAATAAGTATTGTAATGTCTAGCATGTATCAGACCACTGATACTTGAAATTATCTTATAATCTTATCGGCGAAATTACATACAGTAATGGATGAAGATGTTGAAGCCATAACCGGAAAGACAAGGTACACCTTCATCAATCTTAAACAGGTCTGGAAATCTTCTGCACTTCGCCCCAGCCATAAAGAACAACATTCGGATTTCTAACACCAATGTCAAGTTAGTCCTTCTAATATGGATCACATACTTGGCGCATCACGAGAGGCATTTCCAACAGGATACTGCACAGTTTTAGTGACAGCTGCCTCCTTCTCTGACTGGCTCTATACTTAAGACCAAACAACAAGAAACTATGGGAAAATGCTAACCAAGAACCAATAAAAAAAATATATGAGAAAATTGAAACAAATAGATCATATACAGAGAAGACCATCTAATGAAGTCTCATACCACGCCATCGCTGGAGAGGAATGCGAATGCGGAACGAAGAGTGGGTCATCCAAGGGTGACATGGAAGAGATCATGAGCAACCGTGGATCAAGCTAAAGAGGAAAGCAGAAAATAGAGCAAAGTGGAGATATGATGTTTAAGCCGTATGTTCTGCTCGGACCCCAAGGGAACAATCATATAATATTCAAGTGTTGATTTGTAGGGATTTGATTGGTTATAATAATACAATATATATAACAATATATGATAAGATAATATATATAATAATATGATAATAATAGTGGTGAAATATAAGAACCTTTTTATTGGAACTCCAACTGACACAATCCATTCTTGTTTTGCTTCTCTCGCTTAAATCCCATGCTTTCTATGTTGATTCACAATCTTCTCTATTTTTATTGTTTACAACTTTATCCACCACTTTCCTTTTCAGTATTTTCTTAGAAGACGCCAAGCAATATATTACCTGCAAATTTTGTCAGTAGCACGCGCTATACTTGTAGTAGTATTATAATTTTGCAACAATCATTTACACCATCACTTCAAACAACCTTCTGATAAAATAAACAGGTAGGTAGGCGGAATAGCGTAATATTTTCAGGACTGAGCATGAAATATTCAGCTAAAAGTAAGCCAAGAGGAGATCACAGAATGATCAGCAGACACTGTTTAATGGATACGAATTCATATGACAAGACATAGTTTTAAAGATACATTGATTTCGATTGAATCCGTAAAAGACGTCACTATGTCCAAAAGACAAATGCTGTGCCTGGATGTTACTTCCCAATTTACAATCACACTCCTTAATTGAAACGACATGCTTCATATGTGATTACACTAAATCTAAAAATCTACAAATTCCTCTTCTCAACAAATATCAGGAGGGATTACTCCTCACACGTATCTTCAACAAGTAATTCTACACACAAGAAGGTGTTCGGCTCAATCTGAGCTCCTAAAATTTCACATTACATTTTATTCTTAAGTGTTGGTACTAAATTAAGCATTCTGTTCTTCCATAAATGGCAATGAAAAAGGCATACTAAGTAGTTTGTAGGTATATGCTACTCGCTAATGGGAGTAGTTGTGGACCACACAGGACAAACAATAGTGCTTTCTAGCCATCTTAAAGTGATCTAAATACCTGCTACTCTTGTTCAAGGTCGAGCTCATCAGTGGTGTATCCTGTTTGACTCAGCTTAGAGAAATTTATCAGTTAAAATCACCCGAATTCCTCGTTTGTAAATTATGCAGCCGGAGGGGAGAAATCAGTATCGGTTCTTTTAGAAACCAAAATCTCTAGTTCACAACATGTGAGTGGAGATGGGCACCGGGTATTTACACCAATATAAATCTGAGTAGTCGGTGGTTTTCAATCTATTTCGTTTGCTTTCTTTCTGGTTGGTTAGTATCAACCAGATTCCATTTTGTAGTCTGAATATCAATGGTTTCTAAAAGAAATCGTGGGGATTCCTCCTCTCAACCTGGGGAAGTTTGCATTTGAATTTCCATTCACTTCCTTTGTCAACTGATATCTATTAATGTAAAATGTTACTGATGAAATATATTCTAACCCCAGTATGTATGAAACATGTTGCTAGGCTATTTAAATACATTACAATGAATGCATCTAAATTCTGTTTCATAAGCTGAAAATTGATATGTTTCAGTGGCTCAGTGAAGTGTTTTCTACCGTCAAGCTTATAACGTTTTCATATATTTGGGTACATCCACACTTATGGATGCATATTACTTATATGTTCTAATCAGTACTAATTTTAAACGCCTTCCTTATTTTTCTATTTATAAGGTGAAACAATGAATAAATCAGTCAATTTTTTAGCTTTAATTGACCCACCGGCATCTTCATCAGCCTCACCAACGAGTAAAACACTACCCATCAGTGGTTCAATATCAACATTTTATAGAAACAGTCAAACTCCACCACCAATTAACACTATCAATCGGGTATCAACACAAGATGTTGTCACATTTACACCGGAACAACATCGTCAAAAATTAGTTAGATTAAAACAAGTCAATGAAGTCAATAGGGAGAGTGGATCACAATATCAAACAATTAATTCATCGTTTATCACACTTCCATCAGGTCATCATATCACCTCCTATGATAAAATGAAATCATTAAAATATGGAGTGAACAATACAAATCTACATTTATTGCCTTATTTGACAGAACTAACTAATAATAATAATAAGCATGCTGATGTAACTCAGAGTAAAGATGCCACCAGTGTAAATTCTGAAATGACAAATAAGCCACAACAACAGCAACAGGTAAGACGCTTATTATTACTGTAAGAGTGGAACTTGGGCACATTTATAGGCTATAATTCTATGATAGAATAAATGTGTTTCGTAGAAGCACACAGTTGACGTTTTGAACTCAATTTACTGCTGTTAATTATATCAAGACGCTAACATAACCCTTCAACTTTGTTTATATAATTCCATTTTTCCTTATCCTTTGATTTTATTGGTTGCAATATCCCTGGTGTGCGTTGGTGGCACAGCGGTTAGGACGCTTGCCGACCATGCACATGGTCCGGAGTTCGATCTCCGGACGACAAACTCCTTACCTCGCTAAGCCAATAGTAAAACTGGTAAACCGGAAAGGTTGGGCATGAGGCTAGCAACCCCATCCTGTAAAAATTGACACTGCCACAGAAACTTCAAGACTCTAGCTTGGAACCCTATGTTCCACTAGGAACGTGAAGGAAGGAAAAAATATCCCTGGTATTGGCATCACATCATTTCTACTGCATATGTTAGATGTAGACTCGAAGAACAAAGACTCAGTAATCAACCTTTCTGTCTGTCTAACTGCATTACTTTTTAAAACTGCAGCTCTGCCTCACCCTATGGTGTGATTGTGTATTAATGTATGCACTACAAATGCTGAGTTCTCCTCTAAACTATTCATCTTCGTGAGATCAACCTTTCTACACCTATTTATATTCACATATTCCAATAATCTAACTACCATCGGTCTATTAGTCTGACCTGTGTCATTGACCTCACTCACCGTCATTACAAAGTATTTTGTATAATTGGGTCAATAGGGCCCTTTAACATATGGAGCTTGTCCTTGAGTGAGTTTCTAAGTTTAAATGCCACCCTCATTTCCGCTCTTTCAAACGTCACTTCTTCATATGTTAAGACTTCTTTAGATGCCTTAGATTCTTTCTCACTAATACTGTAATCAGTAGTTTCATTACTATATTTCCTTATCTTGTGAACGGTTTTGACCTTCTTAGTGGATTTTGTGGAATAGCTGTTATGTACCAACGCTTCTTCTATCTATGTGACTTCATAATTTAGGTTTTCTGATGTGCAAGTTAGAGTGTGAAAGTTATGTGAGTGCCTTAATATGATTCACTAGGAATAAATTGTGCTAGAAACGTCATCACTAAATAAATTATACTGTAACACAGTGTGCTTTTATCAAATAAATTTAGTTTATGAAAGAATTATTATTACCACTGTGACCTGGTCTGTTGACAAGAAATCTTAAGTAATATATTCCTGTTCCCGTTTCTCCCCCTTCATTTTGTGCTTTACTATATTGATCCGCAATTGTCACTAATTCATCTGCAGAACTGCGGTAGAACACAGCACACAACATACTACCTATAAATTCTTGTCAGTAGTATACGCCATGCTACTATTTTACTTCATAAAATATCTGAGGACAAATTAGAAAGTGACATTCATTGAAAGATTGCATAACACTGTGTTCTGAGCTAATCCTTTCCCTAATTAAACTGGAAACTCTGTGGTTTCATATCCAATGAGTCGCTGACCAACTATTAGTCCATATCATTTCTAGCCTTCGGACAATTCAGTAACTCATTTCATGTAGAATATGCTTCTCATGTTTTGTCTGCTAATGTCACTATCCAAAAATAGTAAAGAAAGCACCAGCGAAGAACAGAACACCATCGAAATAGAGTTCTACTTTTTTAAAAATAAAATTACAGTTACAGGCTATAAAACGTGACAAGTTGCTGATGCTTCTAAACAGGATATGTATATTCTTTCTAGTTAAGTGTTTCAATAAGTGCACGCTTGGAGCAAAATCAACATATTCTTTCCTTCTTCCCCTCACCTCCCTCAATTTAATCTAAAATTAGACCTCTAATTTTCTGATAGTAGGAATTTTGTATATTTTAAGAAAAAGTTCTTAAGTTAATATTAGCAAATGACAAAATATATACCAGAAACTCATTAAATATTCAGGTTGTCTATCATTGCATTTTGAAAGTACTCAACAAAAACTAGTTGGTATCATCCTAGTATCTAAACTGAAATGGTGAAGATATGAAGCTCAGATAAACGTATTTATTGATTCTATATTTTCTCAGTTGGGTAGTTTAATTGGGAAGTTTTCATTGTCTGTCTAGGCAACATCTTCAGTGTTCACTTCAACGTGAAACAAGGTTTTGAATTTCTTAATGAAAATAGTAACTGTTTATGTGATAACCTTGACAATAATTGGCTGTCTCCGGAGATCTCTTTATCATTCCATTCACCAACTTTATTCTGTACTGACTGATAAATTTCGTGAATATCCATATGTTTGCAAGCTGCTCTGAATATCACAATTCAAGGAGTCGGCTGACACACATAACCTGTCGTAACCTTTTGTTTCCAGATTTTCCGAAGCAGATGGGATAGTATTTGAACTAGTGGTTATGTCCAAGGTTCGATGAGGGTTGTATGTCATACAGATGTGTCTACCCTGATAATGTTTTGTGAGATGGTAATTCAATGGAAGAGTGTTCACCAACCACGCACGTGGTTCGGGTTTCGTTCCCCATCGACATACTGCTAAACTTCATATAGCAGGTAGTTTGCCCACTGTAGAGGAAAAGATAGGCATGAGGCTAGCAACCTCATCATCTCGTAAAAGATACTACCTCTACTGAAATTTTAAAGCTCTGTTTTTCGATCCCAATGTAAAGGAACGGAAATCAAAAGTTCTCTGGGATCTTGCATATTTCTTCTGGCTAGAACTTCACTGTCTCTCTCTCTCTCTCAATTAACTTTATGGTAAATTAACCGTTATTGAATAATATGTTCAAGGGAACCAGTCTAGTATAGCTCCAGCGCGGTAAGGAAAATTTGATTTCAGATATAGATAATGCAAAAATTGATTATATCCAATAAACACGAAGTGAAGCTTATCAGTATAGTCAAAGATTACAGAGCAGATATGAACAATTTTCATGTTACTATCCATGAAGGTACTTAACCATTTGTTTTTGTTTTTTGCTTTTTCTAATTACTTTCATCTCTACAGACTTTCCTCTTCTACGACGTATCAGCTGACAATAACCAGAAGGACAGAATACTAATGCATAATAACCAGGCAATAGAAAAGTGTTGTCCAAACAACCAATCAGAAGACAACAGCACATTAATCTCCTTTAAACAAATCCCGCCTTCTTTAAAATCTACTCCACATGATCAAGTCAATGATAATGATGATGATGATGGTGAAAAAACGTTCTCAACTTTGTCTACAACCATGGGTAGCAATACTACTCAAAAATTGAAAAATAGCAGTCATGGTGACAATAATAGAACAAACAGTACAGATAGTCAATCGATCAATATTCTGAATAAAGCCAGCTCACTGAAAAGAAATACGACAATGAGTAAAGGAGTATCATTTGTATAGAAATATACATTTTGTCCATTTTTATTTACTTAAACAAGAATAAATTCTCCTAATTATGAAGAAAAAATGTCTGATGAGTACACTGCAAAAAATTTTAGCTAAATTATACATTTTCTTTTAGCTGGAGCTTCCATACTACTTGCATCCATCATTTTAGTAGTTTTCTGGTTGGACAGCAAAGCTGGAGAATCACTTCCAGATGCATACAAATTTCTTTCAGATGAAACTGAAAACTTGAGCTAACAGTTTATTCCAAGGATTTTGCTGTTCCCCTCTTCTCTCCGGCCACCTTAACTACTCTAGCCTCTTGAATGTATATAATTACACTATGCTCAGTATTTCCCCCTTTTTCGTTCATGTGTGTGTGTTTGTGTGTAGAAATGAATTCTTCGTCTTTTCTTCCTCTATTTGTTGAATCTCTTCAAATTTTGCTGTTGTAATTGTTGTTGCTGCTGTTCCTTCATCTGTTTAACTTTATTTTACTTTAAAGTTGTATATTTTTGAATTCAAAGGTTCCACTGGTCATCAAGTTATAACTTGAACGAAGAGAGAGAGAAACAAAATGAGATGATTACGCAAATATGTCTTTCTCTTGATTTTGCGCCAGTAAAAAGCAAAGTAGTTATTTATTTACACGCTGTTAGAACTACTTATTATTATATCCTTCAATTCCTAGAGGAACATAGGGCTTCAGATGCACGTCTCCATTGCTTTCGGTTTTCCGCCAACTTTTTCACCCCCCTCCAAGTCTGCCCACATGCTTTTATCTCCTCTTCACATCACCTCCTCAAAGTCACCCTTGCACTGTCGACCAACTCGCCGCTTCCCGTTTGGGTTCCACTCGAGCAATGGCTTGCTAAGTGATGTCATTTGATGGTTTCCTCAGAGTATGCCCAATCCATCTCCATTTCTTCCTGCCTATTTGTTTCACAATCGGTTCCTGCTGGTTGGTTCGCTCATTGCCAGAGATCCCTGTTGCTGATCTTTTCTGGCCATCTGATCTTGAGTACTGAGTGGAGACAACTGTTAATGAAAGTCTGTAGTTTGTTTCAGATGCGCTTTATGACGCGCTGGCCAAGTCTCTGATCCGTATAGTAGCAGTGACTTCACATTGGAGTTGGTAATCCGGGTCTTATTTTTGATGGTGAGTGCTGTCGACCTCCACACAAACTTAAGAGTAATGAAAGCTTGTCTTGCTTTTCTGATTCTGGCTTTGATATCCTCGTCAGTCCTGTCCGCCTGTAGTTGAAACGATGCTTCCCATGTAGGCATTTCATCCCAATTAGGACTCGTCACTGGAGGATGTACATGGATCTCTAGTGAGTAACAGTATTGTTTTCACTGAGACTCGAATCTACAACATTTCAGTCATCAATAAATTCAATCAGTAGGAAATTCGAAAGAAAATTACTTGTAGTTTAAACATAATCCTATATTTTCATTGACAGTTGAACGTCAAAAGAAGGGTGATTAGATTTCAAAGTCTTACCAGCATTACCCTTTCATAATGACCAATTAGTCTTAAGATTAGCGTATTTATTTATGTACGAATAAACTGATAAGCATTTGTTTTATTATGGATAACGAATACAAGGTCTCAAGCTAACGGAAGAATAAATGACCCTGAGTCAAATAAATGCGTAGAAGAGTCGAATTTGAGTGGAAAAAAAAGAGTAAAGCTTATGAGGAAAATGATTGAAACAGAAGTATAAAAATATCAAACAGGATAACATTCTTCAATCTGTAGTAAGAATATCTTCCACTTGCTAGTAGCAATTTAGTTACTCATCTAAGTGACCATCCTTTATGGTTTAAGGTTAGGTTAGTTTAGAAATTATTGGTTACAGTTAAGTTTAAGTCACATTCTCCTGGTGAAATCTTTGCCTTAGACCTTATGGGTATTCATCATAAATATTTAGGTGGACTTCTCCTCTATAAGTGCTATATTACCTATGCGAACTCTGAATAACCACTTCAAGGTAACTGATGCACTCATTCACTCGTCTCACATCATTTAATATTACAGTCTAGTTTCATAATTTCGTGGTATTAGATGTGGTGTGGTGTGTGTAGGATTTATTTAACTTGTTGATATATTTCTCACTGATCATAGTTAACACTGACAACAGAGAGTCTGAATTTTATTTGCGTTAAAACATAGACGACTTGTCTTACCTGTTTCTGGAATAAAAAATGTTGGATTAGTTCAACAGTATTGTGAGTCGGTGGCTTAGCGGCAGAATACTCGCCAACCACGTATGTGGTCTGGGGTTGGATGCCCGGTCGACGCACTGTCATATTTCACTAGCTTAGCCGGTAGTAAGACCCCTAAAGAGGGAAGGTTGGGCATGTGGCTAGCAACCCCCACACCACCCCGTAAAAATAAAACCACTGCTACAGACACTTCAAAGCTGAAGCTTGAAGCTCTATGTCCCAATGGGAATGTAAAGAAATGAAATAAATAGTAAATATAATGGTTCGAAGTGCGTCGGTGGCACAGCGGTTAGCATGCTCACCGACCATGCACATGGTCCGGGGTCCGACCACCGGCCGACGCACTCCTTTACCTCACTTATCCAGTAATGACTGGTAAAGAGGGAAGGTTGGGCATTACGCTAGCAACCACATCCTGTAAAAATAAACACTGCTACAGAAACTCCAAGCCTTCACCTTGTGGCCCTTTGTCACACTGGGAATATGAAGGAAATAAAAAAATAATAATAGTTTAACAGTATTAGATAGCAGACAACTGTCTTTTCAATAAAGACAGAAACATGCTGAACAAATTATCGTGTCAAGTGAAATATTTACCTTGAGTCATGTTCACATATGTATATAGAGTGAATAGAATAATTGGCATATGGTTAATCCTACGGGGTTGGGAATTCTCTCAAGAGTAAATCGCTAGTCACATGGTAGTCCAATTGTTAGTTATGTTTAACAGGACGGAGGTGACATTTGACTCACTGGGAGCAGTGAATAAAGACCATAGTCAGCTGACTGGCTCTGATACCTATAACGAACAAGAAGACTTATTCCATTGTAGAATTCTAGACAGAAATATAAAGTGTATCCTAGATGCTTCAGTTACACATTGATTTTTCTCATTGACATATGTTTAGAAGTAGGATGACATCATCAGCTAGAGATCTGATTCATCTGCGCCAAACCAGAAGAAAGAAAATCTGAAAAGCTCAATTTATTAACTAACTGATTCGCTTTTATCAAATGATCACTGAGAGTGATAACCAGTGTAACTAACAAGTACTCAAAGCTGGTCAAAATTAATAAATAAGACTGACATGGTCTCCAATAGAGAAGAAGTGATTGCTTGAAGACTAGACATGACTCAAAACTCTTAGAACCCTTAAACCTATGTTGTTCCCAGTATAATATGGAGACATTTCATTACTTAATTTTTCAGACTTTAACACCAAAGAACCGATTAGGTTTCCTTGTCTACTTCCAATATACCACATAGTTGTGGCTTACATGACTCAGAAGTGTTAAGTTACCAGTGTCAGAAAACACTTACTAAACTGACAGGTCTAAAAGGTGACCAATACTAATACAAGTATATTAGAGGCTGAGTAAATGCCCAAAAACAATCAACCATGTACAAGGCTACCAGGAGAGATTGACTTGTCATAATTATTTATTATTTTTTTATTCCTCTGCATTTCGAGTGAAACACAGAGTTTTCTATAGTTTGGTTTGTAAGGATTAGTTATGTTTTACGGGTTGATCACGGATTGATACCAGTTAGAGAACCATTGAAAACCAGGGAGTACTGGATAGCTGCTGTTTCATCCTAGTTTGGGAATCATCGGCAGTACGCACCCACTGGGGTTCGAACCCGGGACCTTCCGGTTACAAGGCAAGCTCGTATACCATTTAGCCACTGGTTTTCAATGGTTCTCTAACTGATATCAATCCGTGATCAACCCATGAAACACAAAGTTTCAAGCTTCAGCTCTGAAGTTTCAGCAAAAGTGGTTTCGCGTCGACGGGGTCGAATTGCTAGTCCTACGCGCAAACTTCCCTCTTTGATGGCCTTAATGTTATCTAAGGGAGGTTTAGATGTGTGTCTGCCGGACAACATGCATGGTCCATGACCATTCTACGACTAAACCTCTGACGCGCACCGATTAACTGGTAGAGAATTCTAAAGGCACGCACTCCATATTGATGTCTGCTCTGAAGGCGTTGCCCAGAAGGATGATGAAAGTTCCCCAACTAAATCATTCAGCTCAGATGACACAACTACACAAAGATGTACCACTTTTTTGTGCTTGAGTGACTAGATCCTTATTCTTGCTTGGTTTTTAACTGATTCCTACTACGAAGAATTCATGAATTTAAATCAGTATCTGCAACGACCGTTTACTGCTGTGGAGAACGTTTATTCACATATTTATTAACTTCTATGCTTATAACAAACTGTAAGAAGCAATATCTGAGATGATTTCAAACTCTGAAAAAGAAATTACAGCTTAAAACTTTGACAGGAACTAACCATTCCACTAGCAAATAGAAAAAGTTTTAACAGACTTCAGTTTAGATTGTTATACAGTATAAATATTAGACTGTAATCACATGAAGTGTGTTCACAAATCGAATTTCTACAAAAAACGATCAACAACAAAACTCATTTATTGAATCTTTTAGAATTAAAAAACTTTACACTGGTACCTTGAAATGAATAAATTCACTATTAAATCATTCTGAATATTTTTCATCTACCATAGGTAATGATTTTCTGTGAAATTGAGACCGAGGGGAAGTGCATCAGGACGACGAATCCCAAATAGGACGAAATGTGTATCATGGATTCTACTACTAGTCACCATCCACCAACTGATTTCAGGTTATATGACCAGATATCGTCCAAGCATCTGTACATAGAGCCGACATGTCAACTTGAGACCGAGCACTTAGGTCCAATCAATTCTTTTTATCATAGCTTGATTCCACACCGTATTTTTGGTACAAGTATGGAATTTTCAGTATGTGATATCGGTAGCCCAAATTTTGCAGGTCAACCATTGATATCAGGTGTGTGTCAGTAGGGGGTCGAACCCCAGACAATGTGCATAGTCGACGAGAGTCCTAACCGCTGTGCCACGGACGGGGAAATCTAACAGATTAAATTAAATAAGGTACAGGTTAGACGACAGTCATAAGTATAGTCGATTCATTTGGTCTGATGAGGGGAATATAGATTGTGAAGTTACATTAAACTATGCTTATTACCAAAATTAATTATCGGATTGTACAGGAGTCATTACCAATTATTAACACTTAGATACAAAAACTCTTATCAACTAGGTGTGAGCTATAGTAGTACTTTAGTGGTTTACTGAAAAGCTTTGATAAATTATAGGTGGTATTTTTAAAATACCCTTGAGAATATTAAAACAAAGTACTTCCTATTGGTCTGAAGTATGTATGCATATAGGAGGTAAATCCCGGCCATTGATAGTTTTTTCTCTAGATATTTTATGTATCTACTGATAATTATAGATACATTTCTGATGGACATTTTTATTTTTCCAGGTTTTGTACTAATATTTTCCACTCGAGAGTGGTTTTCAACAACCATCAAGTCTAAGCTTACT